TGATCTATTTTAACTATTTACACTTCAGACTGTTGTTCTCAACTACACTCTCATATTGATAAAAAAAAAGTTGAAATTTCAGAAAGAACCCTTTATTTAGTCCACTTGATTAGATTATTGCAGTTCCACATGCCATGCCTTTTCTGGATATCTCAGTTTCAGTTATTTCCCTTTAGTAATTCAACTCTCCAAGTTCTCCTTCACCTCTGCTGTGTCCTGGTATTGAAATCACAATTCTTTGGGTCAAGTCGCTGGATTTACTTAAACCAACGCTCTATCCACTTTACCATGCGTCCTTGGGGATGGTACGTGGAACGAGAACAATCTACCCCGATGGACGAAATAAAGGGTTCTATTCGAAATTTCAACGTATATCACCTGACGACGGCCGGAGAGTACAGCGGCCAAATCGTCGTGAATATGGCAATAAAGATGAGGTAAATCACTGCTAATGGTGGACTACTTAGACAGCATATTAGCCCACTTACAATAGTGTCTAACGTATTTATTAGGATTGGGACATACCCATTAGTTTTCATAGGTACGGTATATAACAAAGGCTCAAGAGCTACTCGAGATAGAGGGTTACAGAATAATTTTGCAGATAGGTGGAGAACATGACGGATAAAACTAGACTTAAACAGATTGAGATTGTCGTGATCGGGGAAAACATCCTCTTGGGAGTCGGTTCCACAGAGCAGTGTTCTGCCAGAGGGAAGCTGTTCGAGTGGAACCTACTTCTCACCGATAGAATACGGAGGCAATGTAAGTGGTTTGCTTCAATGTGAGTTGCATGGCGGGTCCTAGCATAAATGGTTAGAATGGGTGGAACCAAGGAATGCAGTTCGTCTGAGCACTTTCCTTGTAAATAGCGTAGAGCAGTGATAGGGTTGCCACATCTCGTATGTGGGAGACGGATTGTATACAGAAAAATCATTTTGTCGCCCACGAGGACTCGAAGACTCTTTCGGACTCTATCGAAACGGGAAAGTGAAGAATTGGCAGCTCACACCCCAATATAACAGCAGTGCTCCATTTTAGGCCTGATCCGCCTGATCCGCCTCTTGGAAAAGTAGAGGATAACGCGAGGGTTCGCCAACTTACTGGAGCGGGTACAGAAAACTGACTAATGTTTCCTGCATCTTTAGCTATGGATCGTAGGTACGAGTTCCACTTGAGGTCTAGGATGGGTTTAAAATCGAATAGTGTCTCAAGGCAATGGGTCTCCTCGAGGGGAGATCCATTCATCTTGCCTGGCGGTAGTTCAGCGTCCGATCGGCGATGGTGAAATGTAACTAGTTCAATTTTATTAAAGAGTCATCAAAGAATGAGAAAAATAAAAAATAAATTCTGTTATTTTTACTTTTGTGTTGTTTGGTTTTCATTGGTTAATGTTACATAGGAATAGTGTCGCTGCCGACACTTGTATTTGAACATAGATCGCCAGTGAACAAACACAGGCGATCTCATTATTGAATTAAGTAGACCACGTCACCATAGACGAAACGCATATATGGAAGGCAGTGTGACGTCTTACTGATTGATATTTCTATTCTATCCTCTATTACTATTCGGATCTCCATTTCTAGTCTATCCTCTATTACTACACGGACCTCAAGCCTCTACTCTATTCACTATATTATTTCCCTATTCGGATCACTACACGGGTTACTTGTCGAGCAAGTACCATTAGTGCGAGATTATTCGAAGGCGTCTGACATCAGCGTACTATATTTGTATCTGCGATTGCAAAGTCTCAACTACAATAAGCATTACGAAAGTGACAACGAGTATTCGTTGGCATCACAAATTTGGTAACGAGTGTTCGTTGACATCACGAAAGTTAATCAGGTTTCATATGCATTCGACTTGTTAAACAAACGTTAGTACAGTGTAACCCGGATATAAGAGAGTTGTCGGGACCGGAGAAGAAGCCTCTTATATCCGGGTTTGGTCTATTTTATATACATTAACACAGGATTCTAATTTGGGACCAGAGAAAATCTCTCTTATATCCGGGTTTCTCTTATATCCGGGTTACACTGTATAATTTATGGTGTTCCGAATTCAAGCCGTCACGCCAAAAAGGACCCACTGGAACAGGGCAGTCGTCTCTCGTGCAGGGCCGTCGTCTCTCGTGTAAGGCCGTCGTCTCTCGTGCAGGGCCGTCAATTTATCGGCAAATCCCTCGTATTGAGTCTGCCAAAGCCTTCAAAGCACAGAAAAATTTTATAGATCATGACGAAGCAGCCGATTAGTTGAGTGGGAGATATTTACATATGCGTAGGCGCAATCCGCCAATTCTTTCTTCTTCCAACTGCTCTGCGACACCATACGCATGCGATGCGTGGGCGTTTTCGGGCATGATGTCGCGTATCTTGCTCACGACAATCACCGTCTATTCGAAGTTCCAAGAAATTAACGTTTTCCATGCCCAACTGAAAACCCGTAAATATTGTTTTATGTATGTAAGTGTATAATAATTCTAGTTTGTCTATGTGGGATTCAGATGATAACGTATATTCATGAGTGAGTGTGTGTGTCTAGATAAAAAAAATCTGTTGAGTGATAACCCGTCAATATTTTCCCTAATTCTTATTTCGTCTTTAATCAATTTGTGATATTGACAATGAAATAATTACTCAATTTTCGGCCTGATCTGACGGAACCAAGGAATGCAGTTCGTCCGGCCATTTTTCATGGGAATAGCGATATAGCTATAAGAGTCTTGCCACATCCTGTATATGAGAGAGAGGTTGGAGGTGGAAAATAATCTGTCACCTACAAGGACTCGGAGATACTTTTGAACTCTATAGAGACTGTAAAGTGAGGACTGGGTAACCTCCGCCCAAATATAACAACAGGTCTAGGGTGGGTTTAAAACCCTATAGTCGCTCAAGGCAAGGGGTCTTCTCGAGGGGAGATCCATTCATCGTGACTGGCGGTAGTTCAGCGTCCGATCGGCGATGATGGAATGTAGCTAGCTCACTTTTATTAAAACTTCATCAAAGAATGACAAAATGAAAAAAGTAATTCTGTTATTTTTACTTTTATATTGTTTGATTTTCATTGATTAATGTTATATAGGAATAAAGTGTCGCTGCCGGGACTTGAGTTTGAACATAGACTGCCAGTGAGCAAACACAGGCGATACCATTATTGAATTTAGTAGACCACGTCACCATAGACGAAACGCATATATGGAAGGGAGAGTGACGTCTAACTGATCGCTATTTCTAGTCTATCCTCTATACTATTCGGATCTCCATTTCTACTCTATCCTCTATCACTACTACTTTTATGTTGTTTGCTTTTCGTTGTTTAATCAGGTTTCATGTGCATTTGACTTGTCAAACAAACGTTAGTATAATTTATGCTGTTTCGAATTCAAGGACAGACGACGCCTCTATTCGAAGTTCCAAGAGATTAACGTTTTCCATGCCTAACTGAAAACCCGTAAATATTGCTTTATGTATGTAAATGTATAATAATTCGAGTTTGTCTATATAGAATTCAGATGATAATGTATATTCGTAACTGAGTGTGTGTGTCTAGATTGATAACCCGTCAATATATTCCCTAATTCTTATTTCGTCTTTAATCAATTTGGGATATTGACAATAAAATGGTGTTTTTTTTTTTTGTTTTTTTTTGGGGGGGTGCTTTTCTTTTGTTTTTTTGTTTTTTGTTTTTTGTTTGTTTGTTTTGTTTTTGCTTTGTTTTTTTCTGCAACCTGATGCCATTTTCCCCTCCGCAAAATGGTTTTCTATTTTCTTTGGAATTTCCCCACAAAGCGAACAGAATCTTTCGAGGGGAAAGCACATTAATATTTAAAAAAAAAAAACGCCCACCTTCTCTGATTAATCAATGTCTGGTGATTTTCACTTCTATATTGGCATTAATTATTTTAATTTCTTTTTTTTTTTTTTTTCGCTTTTATTTATTTTTTTGCGAAGTTTAAATTACGGTGTCTTTTCATTGTTTCTAATACAGAATTAGTGTCTTAAATGGTTGTAATTGCTGGGCAATTTTTAATCTATTTTTTTTTTCAGTTCAATATATTGTTTTTCTTTTTATTATATTTTATTGTTGGTCAGCATGAACAAGTTGTCTCGAGTGATTTTGAAATTACTTGAAAGCATAATTTAAACAAAACAAATCATGGGAAAAAATTAAATTGAAAGGAAAGATTTAAATTCTTTAAGAAAATAAAAAAGCTAAAAAGCATCACGCTATTTTTTTCAGATGGAAAAAAACAATATGGCGATGATGAGAAAAAAGGATGACGGGAAATGCAAATAGAAGCATCTGAAGACGACGATGATGATCATAGAGTAAAGAGGAAAGGTTTTTTTTTTCTTCAGGATGAAATAAGGATAGGAATATGGTTAGATTGGCACAAGAAGGATTTCGAAAGAAAAATATTTGGATGCAGTCGTAACATGGGTAATATTCTAATGAGTTTCATGGTGGAATATAAAATTAATGACGATATCGTTGAAGGTGAAGGCTTTGATGCGGAATGAGAACGAGGCTCTGAACAAGATGGCCGATGTAAAGAAGTATGAGGACAAAGAATGAAACGAAAGAGAATGAGATAAAATGTAATGAATAATCACAGTGAAAGAAAAAAGCAATTAAACAAAAGAAAATGCTCGGATTAAGGAATCGGAGAGCCGAGTCCGAATTTCAGTCGAATCCATTGCATTCATACACGTGCGAATAACCTTGCGAAATATATGAATCCTCTTCTTCTCACCCCAGCTAGGGGCAAATAGCAGGAGAGACTGGGTTCTATAGCTTTGGATGTCAACTGGTCTACCGCGGAAAGAAATGGTAACCAAGAAAATAGACAATAGAAAATAAAGGGTTCAGTTCGAAATTACAACCTCTTGAAGAAGGCCGAAGCGTACAAAGACCGAATCATCTTGAATATGGCAACAAAGATGAGGGCAACAGTGCAAACAATGTAAATAGTGTAAGAAGAGGTTTAAATATACAGCTTGAGATAGATATGAAGAGGATGTGATAGATAGATAGATAGATAGATAGATAGATAGATAGATAGATAGATATGAAGAAACTTACATAGATAGATAGATAGATAGATAGATAGATAGATATGAAGAAACTTACATAGATAGATAGATAGATAGATAGATAGATTGAGATAGATGGACAGATTAAGATAGATATGAAGAAACTTAGATAGATAGATAGATATGAAGAAACTTAGATAGATAGATAGATAGATAGATAGATAGATAGATAGATATGAAGAAACTTAGATAGATAGATAGATAGATAGATAGATAGATAGATAGATAGATAGAGTCGTCTATGTAGTCGAGTCTATGTTGATAGGACAAAAAATTTTTTCAAGAGAGTCTCATTAATTCTTAAAGATTTTTATGGGATTTCGAAATCGGCAACAAACTTTGTTACCACATTGACGGCTATTTTAGCCGTAATTGTAAATCGTGGTAAACGTCTTTCAAAATACAGTCATTGTCTTTTTCAGGCTATACAAATAATATTTAGAACTTTGAAGGCACGAATTTAAATGTGGACATTACAAATGAAATTATATAGTTGCTTTTTTAAATCTTCATTGAAATCTTTTGAAGAAAGTCGTTGGCATTTGTAGAAAAAAGCCTATTATTTTGTGCCATTTAAATGTTTATTTATAACAGTTGTTTTCTAAAGTATTTAAATTTGATTCAGCTGTAAAATGAATCGGATTTTTCAGTGGCTTTATATGTAGTTTTCCTTCCGCCATACGATAGAATGACACTGACGAAGATAGATATAGATAAATTGATACATAGGTAGATATGAAGGGAGTGACTTAGATAGATAGATAGATAGATAGATAGATAGATAGATAGATTTTTGGTAGTAATATATACACACAAATATATATATATATATATATATATTAATATATCTTCCGTTTCATTTTTTGACACCCTCAACTTTCCCCAGACTTGACACCTTGAAAGTATCTCTATACCGCTACTTATTATTAACACCCTACATTGCCTACCCAATTTAGACAATTCGCCCTAAGCTGTTACCATGGGGATTTTGATTTCAATTTTTAAAACAAGTAAATTTCAGATATTCGTTATTCCAACAAAAATTTCGCTTGAAGATGGAACGGAGCCCATTTTTAATTTCAACTCAATTTAATTTAAAGGATTAAATTGAAGTTTTCGGCTCTTGTTTTGAAACATGAGACCTCTTATGTAGCGATTTGGAATCATATTTTAAATAAATAATTATATATATATATATATATATATATATATATATATATATATATATATATATATATTTAAATTTGTCTGTGCGTTGATGGAGATGGAGATGAATTTCTCGGATCTCATCTCAATTATAAAGGGAATTCTACTCCTAAATCTATACATTGCAAAAACATGAATAGATAGATAGATAGATAGATAGATAGATAGATAGATAGATAGATAGATAGATCGAGATTAATATGAAGAGTCTGGATTAGAGATAGATAGATGATATGAAGATAGATAGATAGATAGATAGATAGATAGATAGATAGATAGTTTTGAACTTGATTGAGAAAGATAAAAAACAATAGACAGATATTTATATAAATAGATGTTAACAGACTGAGATAGATAGATAGATAGATAGATAGATAGATAGATAGATCGAGATTAATATGAACAGTCTGGATTAGAGATAGATAGATAGATAGATAGATAGATAGATAGATAGATAGATAGATTAATAGATAGATAGATAGATAGATTTTGGCAGTAATGTTCGTATTATTTTTTTAAGCATTTCGCCCCAAGCAAAGCAGGAAGCCACTAGCACTCACGGGGTTACAGAGAGTTGGAGCGAGAGCAAAGAGAAGTGATAGAGGAAAGAATGTCGAGAAGGTTAGGGGATAGATCAAGGCATCTGGAGACGTCGATTGACATTACATTTGAATAGTTGGAGATTATAGCTATCAGGGAAACACGAAAAGAGGAGGGAGTTCCACAGGCGAGAAGTGCGTGCATGAAGCTACTGTAGCAGAAGAGACAGCTATATTTAACAATTTTGACAATGAAATGGTGAGAGCAAGATGCCAGCCTAGTAGAACGCTTAAATTCTTAAAGTCTGGGAACCAGCGAAAGCAGTTCATCGGAGCAGTTACCGTGAAAGTATTTGTAAAAAGACAGAGAGAGGCGACAGCACGTCTGTGAGAGAGCGGCTGCAGACGAGATGCCAGATCAGGGCCAATTATATTGCATATCTCTCTCTCTCTGGATTTTATCAAGGACCTTCAGACCAACAGAAGGGGCTTCGGACCATATATGGCGGCAAATACTCCATGCAAGGGCGAGTGCGAATTTCTCGGTTCTCATCCCAATTATCTTGTCCCCTTTTTCACCTCACCTCATCTCTACATTGCAAAACACAATTTAAACGCTGATCTTTTCCTCCATGGTTTTTATTTCATTATATACCTTCCCCCACAAGTCCTTACAGAATGACGCCATATTTTTTTGGTCTCTGACAAAATGGTTGAGCATTTCGACAGATGCGTCTTTGCGCCTATAAAACGGTTAGTGCGCTCCCGACGTGTGAAAATTCTTCTGCAGTTCGCTCCTTTACTGGGTGGCACAGTTTTGTCACGCTTGCCGTGTTGACAGTGTAAAGGTTATCCGTGCCTCGATTTTCCGGACTTCGATTATCTTTGCCTCGATTTTCCGGACATCGGCTTATCCGGAGTTGAAATGAAGAGAAAATAATGTAACCATCCCAACATTTTTCGATTATCCGAACATAACCCATCCTAATATTCCATCTCGGACAAACGTTTCGGGAATCGAGAAGACCATGATAAATCTGTAGTTCCAATCGCTGTCACAACGGAAGATTTTTTTTTTTTTTTTTTTTTTGATTGATTTGTTTTCTACGGATTATCTTTGTAGGTTATTTAAAGGCAGAAACTATTTTTAGATTTTAATAATATATTTTGGCGATAATAATGGTTTACAAGTCTTACTAATTTCTGCCTTTAATTTCTTTTGCTTAATCAATAGATTCATTGATTGATTCGTTTTCGACGGATTATCAACCCTTTGCAGGTTATTTAAAGCTAGAAACTATATTTAGATTTTAATAACATATTTTGGTGATAATAAAAGTTTACAAGTCTTACTAATCTCTTCTTTTAATTTCTTTTGCTTAATCAATAGATTCATTGATTCATTCATTTTCTACGGATTATCAACCCTTTGCATGTTATTTAAAGCCAGAAACTATTTTTAGATTGTAAGATTCATTTTTTTTTTTTTTTTTTAGATAATAATGGTTTGGTGATACAGGTCTTACTAATTAATCCATAGCCGGAGGAAGAAGAGGTGGATACATGCCCCATCAGAATTTGATAGACAAACAAAAAAAAAATTTGTGGATGTAAAGTCTGGGATCAATTCTATATTTCAATCAGTATATTCACTGATCACTCACTTCGTGCCCATAGTAGCTTGCATGCATTTATATTCTCGAGAATGTATATAAATCTAAAAGATATGCCTGTCTATCTTTATATATATATATATATATATATATATATTTATTTCTACGGCATGCCAACATATTTGTCTATTATAAAGATTACTTGTATTATTTACATTATTTGGACCAAATAAAGGGTTCAAATTCCAATCACCTGAAGAAGTCTGGAGCGTACAACGAGCGAAACGTTGTGAATATGGCAATGAATATAGGGACAACAGGCCGAATAATGTAAATAATGCAAGTAATCATAATAGGTCACCTCAAAGATTTGAGATTTCAAAGATATAGGCAGATACTCTAAAGATCTTGAGTTAAATTAGGTTAATAACAATGAATGGGATATTTATGCTGAGAATCATATCGACAGGAGAAGGATGTGTTCCTATGCTTTATAGAAGCTTTTGATATAATATATCCCCAAAAAACTGTTGGAAATACTAGGTAACCTTATGATATTTAATTGGTTATACCCCAGTGCAAGGCAATAAAGCCTCTAAGACACAAGTGGCTACATGTTGTGAAAAATTTAGAAAACAAAAGCATTACTAAGGAACGAGAACAATAGAAGAGTAATCAAAAAGACAGTAGATAACGATTGACATTGCATTTAATTTTTTGAAGATAAAAGTTAACTGGAAAGCATGGAGACGAAAGTGATTTCCACAAGTGAGAAGTGTGAGAAAAGAAACTGTTATCATAGAACTAACAGTTAAATTTAGCCAATTCAACTGTAAATTGATGTTACTATATTGACAGTCTAGTAGTGCGCTTAAATTCATAAAGTTTAGGTACCACAGCGAAGAAGTTATCCGAACAATTAGCATGAAAGTATTTAATGAAAAGACACACGGAAACAACATTACGGCAGTGGAAAACTGAATGAATGAATTTCTCAGATCTCATCTCGATTATCTCCTCCTATATATTGCAAAACATAAATAAATATACTATTTACATTATTCGGACTATTGACCTCATCTTTGTTGCCATATTTATCACAACGTTTCGGCCCTTTAGTATCTGTCTATATTTCTGAGATGAGGTATTATGTACATTATTTACATTATTCGGACTATTGTCCTCATCTTTGTCGCCATATTTATTACAACGTTTCGGTTGGGAACCAACTTTCATTTAGGAGGTAAAAAAAAAGAACTAAATATTAAGATTTACAAAGGAGAGGAAATTATGGAGAGCTATGATCGACGACGTCCTGAAGAGACACGACAGAAGAAGAAGAAGAGAGAAGTAAATGAAGAAGAGGAGGATGAAGAAGAGCAAGAAGAGGAGGAGGAGCAAAAACAAGATGAAGAAGAAAAAGAGGAGGAGCGAAACTAAGATGAAAAGGGGGATGAAGAAGAGCAAGAAGAAGAATAGGAGGAGCAAAAACAAGATGAAGAAGAGGAGGAGGAGCAAAACCAAGATGATGAAGAAGAAGAAGAAAAAAGTAAATGAAGAAGAAGAGGAAGAAGAAGGGCAAGAAGAAGAAGAAAGAAGTAAATGAAGAAAAAGAGAGAGATGAAGAAGAACAAGAAGAGGAGGAAGTGGAGGAACAAAAACAAGATGAAGAAGAGGAGGAGGAGCAAAACCAAGATGATGAAGAAGTAGAAGAAAGTAGTAAATGAAGAAGAAGAGGAAGAAGAAGAGCAAGAAGAAGAAGAAAGAAGTAAATGAAGAAGAACAGGGGGATGAAGAATAGCAAGAAGAAGAGTAAGAAGAAGAGAAGCAGAAACAAAATGAAGAGGAGGAGGAGTAGGAATAATAAGAAGAAAAATTATCAAATTGTGAACGCCAACTTTAAAGCTATTGATAACAAGCTAAGCTCATCGATCTTTTTAGAGAACATGATTACGAGTGCCCACTTTTGAGGCCTTGTGTCAAACATTTAAATTTTCTTTAATATCTACTTTTACGCTTATCTTTCAGTTTCTGTTTTTGCTTCTCACCCACCCCCGCTTGTTGCAGTGGCACCCCTTTATACCGGCAGAACGGGCAATGAGCCAATGAAAAACCATTTGTGCACACATGCAATTAAGTAAATTGAATAAATTCAATCTGATTTTGAAATTTGATCACGAACCACTTGCACGAGTCATAAAGTTGCCACCCAAAAAAAAGTGGCCATTTTAAGATAATAATGACGACAGTAAGATCACCCAAGATAATGAGAAACCTGCAATTATTGTGTTTTAAGACGAGAGTCGCCTACTTTAGTTAAGACGAGGCTTGTATGAATTGGGACATTGTCTTTCTGTTTATGACTTTACAAAATGTCGCACTTTATAATACGAACGTAACGCGAGTGAGAAAATAATTTCAAGTAAAAAGAAAACCACGTCTAACTTTCTGAACTCTTCCCATATATTTCGTTTTATTCAATTTTTTAGGTTACCCTTTCGACGGAGCTTAGAAAATGGCGACTGCATAATCTGCAGAGAAAGCAGGGCTCTTCTAAAATTTAGTGGGTACTTGAAGACATTATATCGTCCTTGTTGACTCCAGTAAACCGGATCTATACCTTTTTTTTTTCACTCTAGCGTAAACTGGATCAATGTCTAACATGACACCAGCCTAAGCTATAAATTCCTTTGACTCTAGTTTAAACTGGACTATTGTATACCTTTTAGTGCAAATCAGATCTAAGTCAACCATTTTTAATTTAGCGTAAACTGGGGCTATTAGTATCAATTTATTCAGGTGTAAAATGGACTTATGCCTACCTTTCTGAGTCTTGTGTAAAGTTGACCTGTCTAAATTATTCATTCTAGTGTAAAACGAACCGAGGACTATTTTTTGGGGTTCTCGTATAAAACGGGTCGATATCTACTTTATTTAACTTTAGCCTAAGTCGAACCGATGTCTACTTTGTTGAATCTAATATAAAGCGGATCAATGTCTATTTATTTGGGCATTAGCATAAACGGAGCCGATGTCTACCTTTTCAATTCTACCAGAAAATGAACTGATGATTGCCATTTCGAATCTAATATAAAGCGGACTGATGTCTGCTTTATTTTACTGCAGCGTAAACCGAACCGATGTCTACCTTTTCCATTGTAGCATAAACGGAGCCGATGTCTACTTTTTCATTCTAGCGTAAAACGAACCTATGTCTACCTTTTCGATTCTAGCGTAAAACGAACCAATGTCTACCTTTTTGATTCTAGCGTAAAACGAACCTATGTCTAACTTTTCGATTCTAGCGTAAAACGAAGCTATGTCTACTTTTCGATTCTAGCGTAAACGGGGCCGATGTCTATATTTTCGATTCTAGCGTAAAACGAACCTATGTCTACCTTTTCGATTCTAGCGTAAAACGAACCGATGTCTACCGTTTCGATTCTAGCATAAAACGAACCTTTTCGATTCTAGCATAAACGGAGCCGATGTCTATATTTTCGATTCTGGCGTAAAGCGAACCTATATCTAAGTTTTTCGATTCTAGCGTAAAGCGAACCTATGTCTACATTTTTTCGATTCTAGCGTAAAACGAACCTATGTCTACATTTTCGATTCTAGCGTAAAACGAACCTATGTCTAACTTTTCGATTCTAGCGTAAAACGAACCTATGTCTACTTTTCGATTCTAGCGTAAACGGGGCCGATGTCTATATTTTCGATTCTAGCGTAAAACGAACCTATGTCTACCTTTTCGATTCTAGCGTAAAACGAACCGATGTCTACCGTTTCGATTCTAGCGTAAAACGAACCTTTTCGATTCTAGCATAAACGGAGCCGATGTCTATATTTTCGATTTTAGCGTAAAGCGAACCTATGTCTACCTTTTCGATTCTAGCGTAAAGCGAACATATGTCTACCTTTTCGATTCTAGCATAAAACGAACCTATGTCTACCTTTTCGATTCTAGCGTAAAGCGAACCTATGTCTACCTTTCCGATTCTAGCGTAAAACGAACCTTTTCGATTCTAGCATAAACGGAGCCGATGTCTATATTTTCGATTCTAGCGTAAAGCGAACCTATATCTACCTTTTCGATTCTAGCGTAAAGCGAACCTATGTCTACATTTTCGATTCTAGCGTAAAACGAACCTATGTCTACATTTTCGATTCTAGCGTAAAACGAATCTATGTCTACATTTTCGATTCTAGCGTAAACCGAAACAAATGTCTACATTTTCGATTCTAGCGTAAAACGAACCTATGTCTACATTTTCGATTCTAGCGTAAAACGAATCTATGTCTACATTTTCGATTCTAGCGTAAACCGAAATATATACTTTTTCAAATCTAATCAAAATCCTAAAAAGAATATTTCGATCTAAACAAAGGCAAGTGCACGGGATTGATATGTAATATGACCCCTCCTCGATGGAAGTGAATTCTGGACAAAGAAAAATAACAAAAGGCAGACACCTATCTGAACAATAAGCAACAGTGATCTATACCTACGTTATTAAGCCAGAACAAAGACGCTTAAAGCATCACATCTCAACAGTTCAGATCGCTTGTTAGTTTTCACACACCCTCCATCGTAACGGCGATAAACTGAAGTCATTTTATATACCTTTAAGGATTCCCTTTCAACCAACACTTTTTCGATGGTGGAAGTTAGAGCAGTTAGGCAAACTCAGGACATAAATAGAAAAAATAGCGAATGAGTAAGAGAAATTGGAACAAGATCAAAACAAATTTTAATTGCAAAAAATTGACGACTAAAAACAGATATTAAAAAGGTTCCTATATATATATATATATATATATATATATATATATAGTTGTATATTTAGGCAGCAGTCCTTCCTTTATGCATGTTTCATTAAAAACGACAGACAAGGTACTACGGTTGAGCTTTTTATTTAATGTTTTTGTGTTCTGACAAGACTTTTTTTCTGGACAAAGGTGTGTAAGAACTGTCCAAATGTTTTATATTTCCGAGCGCTTTTGGCTATACCTTTAACCATTATCAAGGATGATTCGATTATCAGCTTAGTGTGAGTGTCGTTTTAATGAGACATATATATATATATATATATATATATATATATAGATAGATAGATAGATAGATAGATAGATAGATATTAAATTTTATTAAAGATATATATATATATATATATATATATATATATATATATATATATATATATATATATATAGTTAAGTTATGAAGAACTTATATATATATATATATATATATATATATATATAGAGATATAGAGAGATACAAAAATTTTAAAATTTATATATATATATATATATATATATATATATATATAGTATAAAAGTTATGAAGAACTTGTTAATCCGTATGGGTAATACCAAGGAGGATGAAATACTGAGAGCTCAATGTAAATCCAGAGCTAATATTTAAAAGAAAAAACAGACCACTTTAAGGTACCATTATAATAATTTATTTCATCAGAACCCTTTAAAGGACGCCGGATCATCAGATAGCACTTCCAAAAATGAAATGAAACGAAAATGAAATTAAAATTGATGGGTAGTGTAAGTTTTTGTAATTTAACAGAGAGTGTAAAAAGGAGTAGTTAAAGAGACATGGTAGATTAAAGGGAGGGATTAATTTCATATCTCTCTCAAGCATACTTAGTATTGGGGAGGAGGAGGACCAGACCATGACCTATTTAGACGGTTAAACTTAATGATAATTGAAATGGAGGGGAGAAGGAGAAAAGAAAAGGAAAAAAAGAAAGAAGAGGGAAGGGAAGTAACGAGAAAGAGGCTGTAATTGGGTTTTAGCAATTTATGTAAAGAATAGATTTTAATGCTTGATAGTAATTTAGATGTAAAATTGAAAAAAGGTTCGGGTGAAGAACACCAAAACAAGGACAAAAAGTTTATATAAACATGTTAAAAAAATCCTTCATTTTTTTTAGTTATTAAGTTAAAGAATGATTATTTATATGGCGCATTTATTGACATGGAGACTAGGTTACATTTGTCAGTCGTGTACATTTTTGGCTAGTCTTCAAAGTTTAACATGTATAGTAATGAGTTCACTGAGAAGTGTTATAGAAGCATATTCATATCATGAGCGGGCAGATATGATTTTTACATATGGCCGCGCGAATGGTAATGGACGCAAGGCTGCACGGCTATATCAGATCGCGTTTCCAGACCAATATTTAAGCCAAGTCATTTTGTTTCAATGACATCCTCTCAAATCAGGGCAGGCAATCTTTCAGAGTGAGCGGACTACACAGCTGTTCAATGTCTCGAAAGAAGGCCATGATACCGAATCTAATAATAACAAAGACAAAAGTCCATGTATACATATGTCCGCAAAGCCTTCCTTTTTTAGTTATTAAGTTTAAAGTTTAAGGTAGATGCTGCTAAATGTACAATCCAAGACAGAATCCAAAAAATACATTTACAAACATTGGGAGGGGGGCGGCTTCCTGACATTAAAACAAGATAAAATGTCTATATAAACATATTTCGAAAAGGCCACCGTTATACCTCAACACAGCAGCTCATAACAAATACTCCAGATGTCATCCTCTTTTTTCTACACGCGTATTCACCCGTCGGAAACATCTACCCGACTCCGTTTTATACGTGGTCTACAGGGAAATTTTGGCTGAGCCTACGGGCTCGGATACCCCAGATTAAATTCGGCCTTGTGCCACATCTGACCACGTTGGGCGGTTGGTAGATATCCTGCAGTTGGAGATTCATTGTTTAATTCAAGCAGTTGACTACTACTTCTAGCAGCTGACTACTACTTCTACGCGCCGCTGGCGAATCTTATATGTGTTGTTCTTGTTCTAAGTATTATCATTCATTACCAACCTTTGTGTGATTATTCTATTCAGTAACCTTCCCTGGGTTACAACAGCATCTCAACCATAGGTTTGGCTTTATTGATGTTTATTCTAAAGGCATTTCTTCGAAGTATTCCATGTATATGTTTGCCATTGACTGGTAGGGGTTTTCAACTATTCACACACGAATGGTTTCGACCCCACCCCATTCTTTTGGTTTTAAGAACCCGCTCCAAAAGTTTGCAAAAGTATTTTTGATACCCACTATATATATA